CTTGGAAAGGGTGATTACCAAAAAAATTGGAATGATAGCAGTACAAAAAGGAACACTTCCTTCTGAAGTTCATGCAAACCCCTATTTGCCAATATGATCAACTGGGAAAACCCAGCCCTATGAACTCTTTCCCCTAATTCTTTTTGGAGAACTATACTCCCCCTTCTGTGAGCTCCCAGCTCCTTCCCAAACCAGGCCTGGAACATACTCGTTGACAAGTTTGTCACAGATCTCGCTTGGCAGGAAGATGTCGGGATGGAGCCGGAGCGTTTCGTTGTCCAGGAGGTAGCACAGAGTCCCCTCCAGGTTGCGAAGGCAGTAATCAGTGCACAGGGTCATCAGCGACTCAGGACTGTCAGATGCCATCTTGAGGGAAATTATGGGAAGGGGAAAAGCAGAAGGAAGCTTTTGATGCAGGAGAGCCTTCCCTCAGATGAAGTCCTGGGATGAATTTATGGGGCCATCAGGACAGCTATAAGCAGAGAAAGGCAAAATGATGCATTGAGAAAGTGCAAGTGTCCCACAAAGCTGTCCAGCAGGATGCTCGTTGTATTTACAGCCCAGCACTTGCTGACCTCGAAAGGACCCACAGCAGTTTGGCCTTTCTGGCAGTGTGCCCTTAACTCCTCGGTATTCCCACTCCAAGGGGATACTGTGGGAACCAGTTAGTGTGCTGTGCTTGGAAATGAGGCTACACAGCAAAATGTTTCCTCATTGCAGGGTTATCTGGCTGACAAAGGCCCTCGGAAAGGGAAGTGGTAGAAGCCACGTTGCTTGGTTTCCTTCAAGGTGGCTTGGATAAACCAGCAGAACATTTACTGTCAGCATAATCCACAGTGGGATCTGTGGCCCTGCATCTCCAGCCTGTCATTCTCTTTACCAACATTCCAAGTCAAGTGTCATTTTTGAGCTTGGTGTTTCTGTGTAGTGCCAAGCCAGAAGCTTCATACAAGTCCTTGAACTAGAGCATGAAGTGGATCAGAAGCAGAGGGAAACACACAGACTGGTCTGGGATCCCTCTGAGTGCAATGTAAGGCAAGGATTGTGATTCTGCCTGACACCTCTACATCCAGCTCACCCTCACCATCCCAAATCTTTCACAAAGAGCGACTAAACAGGAAAAAGGCAAGGTGTTTTTGCCCTTCTTCATTTTTGGAACAGGATAAAGGATGGATGAGGCAGACAACTGGGGGAAGCTATCCCTGTCTGTTTTCTGATTTCAAATTACTTGACTGCTCTGGTATAAAGACTTGCTCACTGGGACCTTGAGGGGCTTATCAAAAAAGTTAGCTTGAAGACTAACAGTGACATTTCACTTTCAAGGGGTCAAATCACATTATCAGCAAACCTAAACTTTTCTAAATATTTCCACAAACACAAAAAATTGTGTTGACATGTTTATTTTTGATATAAAATCTATGTCTTATTGGTAAGTCTGTCCCTGCTGGACCTGAGAACACTGATGCTGTGGAGGTAGTTGTTATTCTCTGCACCACAGCTGAGCAGCCATTGCTGGAGAAGTTGTTGCAAAATGTCCTTAACCATATTCCGTCTCTGATCTTTATCCTGAAGCTGCAAATAGCAGGACACTTGTGTGTCACCAGTCCTCTGCTTCTCTAAAGCCTCTGCTGCTTTCTCTTTCCTTCATTCCTATAGTATCAGTACAAGACAGAAGAGTTTAACTCCCATTCAGCTTAATCACTCTAAAAGGTAAAAACCCCCAAAACCTCAGCAATCATAAAAATTATACTTTAAATTATCTCCAATTGTAGTGTTAAGGGTGGAACTTGCTCTTTTGGTCACATAAAACTGTGACTTTTCAATAGTGCCACAATAGCTCCACTGAGGTGCATGTGGTCCAATAATCAACAAAAATGGAGGGTTTTCAACTTTGATAAAGGATGAGTGCACAATCCACAGTTCTCACCTTTGGAGTTGTGTAAGGTGAGAAGTCAAGGCTGAAATGGGCCACTGAGTGCAGAGTATTGTCTCCCTGGCTGGGAGGTCCTGGCAAAGGGAATGCAGGTGGGAGGAAGCTGTCCTGTGTCTGCTTTGGAGATGAATCGGCCTCACTTTCATAACAAGTCCCTCTTGCAGATTTTGCCTGAAGCTTGCTGGAGAGAATCTTTCCAGAAAGGCAAGATCGACAGGAAGATCTGAACCAGCTGGGAAGCGTGTTCTGCTATCCCTACCGGTTCCCCTGTGCCATCAGACAGGAGGTCCCTGCAGCCAGTGTTCTTCCACTGTTTACTACCGATGGCCAGAGAACTCGAAAACAAATTCCCACTGACAATCTATTGTCACGTGCAGCTGGAAACGGCCAGTGCTTGGGACTTGTCCAAGCAGCTCAGAGCTCCAGAGGGCAAGGACTGCCTTCCTGTGGCTCTGACAAGCCTCTGTTCCCTCTCTGCTGAGACCAGCACAATGCAGCTGTTTGATCTCAGCCCTGAAGAAATCAGCTGCCCTTTAACTTCTGAGCTCCCCGTGATCCACCAACACAATCCCATGCAGAAGTTTAATATCAAGAATGGTTAAACTGTCCCAGTGAGATAAGACCAAAGAAAAGCTTTCATCCTCCTGATTTATTACAGCTATCTGAGCACTTCTGTGACCTTTTGTCCGGGACACAAGCTGGCCTCTCCCTCTTTAAACTGAAGACATGACACCTCAGCAGCAGAGAGGGAAGTAAAAGTGTCAATAGCTGCCCTGATCAACACTGTCTCTAGTTATAACCTCATGTGTGACAAAAAGAAAAGAACTGGAGAGGCTGAAAAATCATTAACACTTGTCTAATTGTTCTCATCAGGAAGCTTCACACAGGACTAGTGACTGCCACTAGTGCTTTTCCAGCAATGAGCTGCCTGGTGCCACGTGGGTTTTGGTAGAGTTAAAGAGAGATGATTGAAAGATGCTGAAAATTCAAGAGCAAGAACTGAAAAGTGACCAGAACTTCAGCTGCCAGTATTTTTTCCAGTTTATTTCTCTGACAGATTTGCTTCCATTTTAGTGCACCAAGGAACTGAGTTCTTCAGAGCCTCGGGAGCAGGCACACAAAGGCCCTTTCCATGGGCACACAGCCCTCTCTGTGTAGTAACAGCACCCTTCTGCTATCTATGGACCCAAAACCAGGTGCAGTACAGGCAGCTCATCTTACTTACCTCATCCCCAGCATCCAGGACCCACCAGCCTCTTTGCAATTATTGCTTATTTCCAGGCTGCATCTGCATTGTTACAGCATTCCAGGCTGCACTGCACAGGAGGCTCAGGACCTCTCCTGGGCCTGCCAGTGCCAATATCCTCTCCCTTGGACTTCAGACCCATCATCTCTCCCAGCCTCTCTCCAGGCAGTGCCCAGAGCCAAGCTTTGACTCACTGTGGCTCCACGCCAACCACACAACATTTACACTGTTGCTACAAAAATGATTGGCAAAGCCGACTGTTCCAGCATCAGGGACTCGTCCAAGGAGAGGGCAAACAATATGCACTGACACGAGCTGATTACAGCAACTTCAGCATTACAAATGTAATGTAAATGCAGAGTTTGGCACAGGTTGTGCTCTGAAGGGAAACTGCACTGTCACTTTAGCTGGCATCTTGCAGCTGCAAATCACTGTGATTTTATTAATTGATGGGTCATTGCTGCCTTTCCGGGGAAACACCATCCCTTCTAACACTAGGGAAAGTGAAGTAGGAGGAGACTGACCTAGCCTCTGTTCCAGCAGAGCCTGCAACTCCCGAACTTGTCAGCCAGACTGACTGATACTGTAAATGAAACAGCTCACACTCGCCTGGGAATGCGTTGATCTTAGTACCTGCCTGCAGTAAAGATGTTCCTTCAGCTCACTGAATTACATCACAGATTTTCATTCCATAGGTCACCTGCCCAAGAAGACTACCTGGAGTCCTTGATCACGGCTTTCTGGGCGCTGGGGCTCCATAAGCCCGCGATAGTCTCTATCAAACCCGCGGGCAGCGCTTGTCCCAGACCCGAGCCCTCCCTCGTCCCCCAGGCACTCAGAGGTCACCTCGCCGGGCAGCGCCGAAGCTGCTGCCGCGGGCCGGAGCCCTGCCCGGCGGGGCCCGGCTGCTCCCGGCAGTCCCGGGGAGGGAATGGGGACTGCGCCGGGGGCACCGTCCGGCACTGCCGGGGGCAACAGTTCCTCCCCCCGCCCGGGCGGGCAGGCCCGGTGCCCCCGGGTCGGGCTGGGGACGGGAGCACCGGTACTCACCTGGCGCCATGGGGGACTGGTCCCGGCTGGTCCCGGCTCCCCGGGGCGGGCCGGGGTCCGCGTCCTGCTCGGGCCCGCTCCCCCCGCCGCAGCCTCCGCTGTCAACAAACCGACCGTCACTTCCTCCGCCCGCGCCGGAAGCGCCACCGAGTCCTCCCCCGGAAACACCGGCCCGGCCGGAACGCTCGGTCAGCGGAGACCCGGCAGGGACGGGGACGTTCAGTGACGTCACTAGGCCGTGACGCCACGCGGCGGAGGCACTGACGTCACTGCGCGGGGCAGGGCTTGGCCGCGGCGTCGCGGCAGGGCCTCCCTGGGGCGGGTCAGCGCAGCTCGGCCTGTCCCTCGCTCAAGGACTGCGGCTGCCGCCACCGCAGAGCCAGGGTCCCACCGCGCCCCCTCATTGAGGGGGGCCATTCCCGCGAGCCCCGCTCACTGTTGCCATTGGCATGCGCTAGAGCGTGGCCGGGACAGCGCGACCACCCCGGCGGTCTCCTCAGTGCTTGGGGGACTGGCTGCTGCAGCCCGCGAGGTCTCTCCTGGCGTTTGGTGCTTGGCCAGGGACCCACGCTGTGACCCGCAGGCCGGGGGTCGCCGGGACAAGGCAGGGACCGTGCCCGAGAGGCTCCGGGGGGCGCCCCGAGGCGGGCAGGGGCGGGGCTTACCGGATAGGGGCGGGGCTTAGCGGACCTTGAGTATAACGGGGCGGGGGCGGGGCTTTGCGACGGAAGGGGCGGGGTCAGGCTCTCAGGAGAGGAGTCCTGGGGCGGGCGGGGGCGGGGCTTAGCGCAGGGAAGGGTCCGCGCGGAGCGGCGGTTTCGCTACGCCCCCAAGGGGCGGGCCCACCGGGGTGGGCGGGGCCCGTCCCGCATCCCCCTCCCCGGGCAGCGTTTCCAGCCGGAGCGTTTATGCGGCGCGCGGGGAAGGGGCGCCGGGGCCGCCATGTCGCGGTTGCACCAGAGCAGGTCGGTGTTGGGGTCTGTGTAGGCACGGGTGTCTTTTCCCTCCCCGCCCTGCCGAGGCTGCGCTGCGTGGGGTGGGGGTTCTCGAGAACCGGCGGCTCTGAGGGGTTGGGGGTTCTGGGGGGGTCTCGGGTTGCCTGTACCAACCGTGATGACGCTCGCGGCTTCGCTCCCCTCAGGATCGCGGACTTCCAGGAGGTGCTGGGCGAACCCACGGTGGCTCTGACCAAGCTCCGCGAGCTGTGTTTCAGCGGTGAGTGCCGCGGGGACTGGCCCCGGGCTGGGGAGGGGGCTCCGGGAGCGGCGGTGCCCCGGGCTGGTACCGCCTGGCACGGGCTGTCCCCGTGGGAGACGCTGTGGATAACCCCAGCAGCGTCACTGGGGAAACTTCGTGCCCCTCGGGGAGGAAAAGTGTTGCCAGGCCTGTTTGTGAGGTGACATCAGCAACCCGCGGTGAGAGATGGGCTAACGTGGTTATTTCTCTGCCTTGGTGTTCCACAGGAATTCCCTTTGATGGTGGGCTGCGCTGCCTGTGCTGGAAGGTGGGTTTTGCTTAAGGTGCTTTTCTTTCTTGCGAGTGATGCTTTGAGTTGATTAAGTACACGTAGCACTTTTTTGGCGGTTAAAGTTGTAAACAAATAAACAATAAATCTAGAGCTTAAAAGCCACTAGAAGTCAGCAGTAATTTGCGGAGATCAGCACTTTGCACGTGAACAGCCTCAGTTTTAAGCTAGCAGTGCATTTCAGTCAGGTTAGCTATTGATCAGTCCTACAAATAGTTCTGTATGGAAAGCCAATCCCTGAATTATTCCTGACTGTTGCTTAGCAAAGTACTTTGCTTGCTGGAGAGAAATCCCAGTGTTTTCTAAGAGCCAGTTTGAGCCACTGTGTTTGCGCTGCTCACCTTGCAGGTGTAACAGCTCATTGAATACTAAATTTTGTTCACCTGTTTCCTGTGCAGATACTCCTGAACTACCTCCCTTTAGAGAAAGCCTTATGGAGCTCTTTGCTGAAGAAACAAAGGTGAGGATGTTGGTGCTTGTCTCTTTATTTCCAAAGATATCTGCACAGAAGGAGAATAGTCTTTAAATAATTAATTACTTTCATAAAACAAATTGTTCTTGTGTGTGATGTGCTGTTCTCCCAGCTGCCTGGTAGACTGACCCTTTCAATTACACTGAAGAGAAAATCAGATACCTTCTGGCTGAGAAGGGTGGGACAGACATCTATTTGAACTCTGTGTGTTCACCTTGACCTTAGCTTCCTCGTTGCAAATTCCCCTTTTCTTCTTTAAGGGATCTGTATTCCCAGTTCCTGAAAGAAATGATTATCCAGCCTGGGATTGCCAAGGCCAACCTGGGTGTTTCAAGGGAAGATGTGACCTTAGAAGATCATGTAAGTGTTGTTAAGCCTTTGTGCTGCAGAAAATTCCTTGGGGGTTTTTCTGCTCCCCTGAACTGCTCCTGGCTCTGTTCCCTCCTGTTCTGCCCTGCCTGAGGGAGGGATGGTTCCCAGGTGACAGCCTGACACTTTTGTTGTGGTAGCCTTGAGTGTGGATTGTTAGCAAAGTACCAATAGCTCTGTAGAGAGCTGTTTTCATCTGTGCTTTTCCCTCCCCCTGCCCTTTGGGGCTGCCTTCCCAGGCTGTGGGTCTCCTAGGTAGAGGGAGAGGCACACAAGAGGTTCCTGGAGCCATGAGATGCTCCCCTGGGAAGTTGGTCCATGAGTGGATTCAGAGCAGAGGACAGAAAAGAAACAGGAAAGTCAGGCTGGACTGTGGTGTGAAAGGCAGGAGAGTGGATTATTTCTAGTAATGCTGCTGGGGTGTTGTTTTTTCAACAGACTATTTCCTGCATGCCTTGGGTTTCTCCTTCTCTGAAAGTGCTGTTAGGAGTATGTGTGTGGGAGGAGTGAATGAAGTAACTGATCAGAAAAGACTGTAAAGTGATACAGCTGCTCCCATGACCATTCTGAGCGTTCCCTCCCCTGCAGTCACCTGCCCTACTGTGATCTCTGGAGCCTTGGTGGTGTAAAACCACACAGGCAGGTCACAGTGATCTTTGAATCCCTTGGAATGTAGCTTGGTTATTTTCTTGGTTAGTTGTTAACTTTGTGTGGATCTTGGTGTGGGGGGGAAGAACCACAACATCAAAGTACTGGGTGGGTGGATAACTCTTACCCCAAGTCCAAATACCATCTCCATGGTACAGGTTTGGAGCTGCAATCAGGAATCTTCTTAACAGAGAGAAAGAAACCTGATTTGGGAACAAACTCTTGAAGAGGCGAGTGAAAAGGGATTGAAAATGTGAGAGAAAAAACGACCCTGATGTGCTCAGATTGTGCTGATGGCAGACTGACAGCAGAAATGTTAAATCACTGTATGTTTACTGAGGATTTTGATATGTATGAAACACACTTGTTCTGTTTCTGTTGTTTCTCTCTTTAGCCCCTCAATCCAAATCCAGACAGTCGATGGAACACTTACTTCAAGGATAACGAAGTGCTCCTCCAGATAGACAAAGATGTCAGGTGTGTGAGACAGTGACTCCAGATTTCAGATCCCGAGAGGTTCAGTCAACAAATTGTACTTTGAAAATGAAGTTGAATATTAAACCAAGCCTCCCATTCAACATGGGGCATTTCCTTCTTGTCTCTGATTTCCTTCTGTGTCCATCCTAGGAGGCTGTACCCTGACATGGCGTTTTTCCAGCGCCCCACGGATTATCCCTGCCTGCTAATCCTGGACCCCCAGAACGAGTTTGAGACGCTGCGCAGGCGGGTGGAGCAGACCACACTCAAGTCGCAGACGGTGGCACGAAACCGCAGTGGGGTGACAAATGTGAGCTCTGGGCTGGGGCTGTCCTTGTCACAGGGCAAGGTCTCAGACTGGGAAGGGGAAGGGTGATTCTTGGATTGTTCTCTGTTTCTCTTTCTGCTTGTGCAGTGGAATTAAGGAAACACCCCAGCAGATACTGAGCATTCTGGGGGCTGCATATTGTAGAATCAACTGGAATTCCTGACAGACTGTAGGGAATTATAATTTAAGGATTGTTTTTACCTGACTTCTGGTAGAATTTGGAGTCACAAGTTATTTTATGCCAGACATATGCCTTCCTGTATGGCAACAAAACACTGAAGGGTTAATTTACTATGAATTTATTACAAATTTCCATAGTCCTCCAGAACTGGATCTCAAACCTGGAATTAGGGGAAGAGCTGAGTATCTGTTAAAATGTGTAGTCTCTTTCCCCTTTCGTGAGTGCTACAGCACACGTGCTGTTGGGGAAGGTGGCTTCTCCCACAACCATCAATACCCTTCCCTCATTCTACTAACAAAGAAGTGGAACTGCTGTGGCTTTTGCTGTGTGAGATCATGTGGTGCAATTATTCAGAAGGAACTATGTGTTGCTGCAGCACAGACTTTGTTCTTCAGGGACAGCCAGCACCAGGACTTGTCTGCCTGTGTGCTCCCAGAGCTTCTTGTCTTGGTTTATGTGCTATAAACAGCCCAGATCTTTTGGGGGGCCTACGTGTCTTAAAAGCCAAGCTTGGCACGAGTGCTAAAGGATCTGTGCCAGTTGGTTATCCTGATTCAGCCTTGTTTTCCAGGTGAGCTCCCCTCTGAAAACCACCCCCAGCTCTCTGAGTGAGTATGAAGTTCTGCCCAACGGCTGCGAGGCTCACTGGGAAGTGGTGGAGAGGATCCTGTTCATCTATGCCAAGCTGAACCCTGGCATAGCCTATGTCCAGGGCATGAATGAAATTGTGGGGCCTCTTTACTACACCTTTGCTACAGACCCTAACAGCGAATGGAAAGGTGAGGAAGCCTTTTGACTGCTCAGCAGTGGCTGTGGAACTGAGGCTTCTCTGCACGGCATGAGGAGTTTTGGGGAATTGTAGGAGCCGAATGGGCTGGGAGTGGTGAGGATTTTTGAGTAATTTTTGTTTGTTAAATTCAGAATCCTCTTAGAAGCTATTGTTGCCTTGTACTATGTATACATGGTAAGGAAAAAAATGGAAAGGGAGGACTTGGCCTGTTGCTTCTGCTTCACAGGAGCTCTGAGGTTGTGTGCTGGTGGCAGATTATGTTCCTGAGCATAGATAACTGTTTTGTGACCTCATGTCATGAAGACCTTGTGTTGGACACAGGGTTAGTATTTGTAGTGGCTCTGTAGATGTTTGTAGTTAAAAAAAAAAAAAAAAAGTTGTCTAGCCTTGACCCAGACTAAGCAAGCCAAGTTCTGGTGGGATCTACTCCTTAAATCCAATACAGCAAACAGATTATGGAGCAAGGACAATTTTACAGCCCTGTACCTCTCTGTCAGGCTTACTCTATTCTCCCATGTTCTTATTTTCTTTCCCCAGAACATGCTGAAGCAGACACATTTTTCTGCTTTACCAATCTAATGGCTGAAATTCGGGACAACTTCATTAAGAGCCTGGATGATTCTCAGTGTGGTATTACCTACAAAATGGAGAAGGTGTACTCCACCCTGAAGGAAAAAGATGTGGAGCTGTATTTGAAGCTGGTGAGGAGCCAGGTGTTTCTCTGGCTCTTGGGTGGGATGCGAGGAGTGGCTTAACAGTGCACATGAATGTCAGTTCTGTTAAACTGCTTGAGTAGAACACAGGGTGTATGAAGGGCTTTGCCTGTGGGGCAGAGACTCATCTGTGAGCTGAAACAGCCTCTCCTTGGAGTGAGGTTTCCTCTCCTGCCTGCCTCAGAAAGCAAACTATGGTTGTTGCACAGCTGCCAGCTGGGAGTCTGAATGGACTTGGCCATGATCCTTGGTCACCTGCATAGCTGGAGTTGGAGTTTTTATTCTCTTGTAGAGAACAGTCAAAACATGGGTTTTGCTGTGCAGCTGTGCTGCGTTTCTGCTTTTAAGAGCAAAACAAAAAACATCCCCCACGCTGCACACATGCACTTCTATTGCCACTGGCTGCCCTGACAGCACTGACTTAAACTCCATGGAGCACATTCCAAAGGAGAAGTGAAATCCAGTGAGCTGGATGATCTCACAGTTCAAATTATACTGTTCCCTTTCATCCAAAGGTTTTCAAGTGCTTTGGGTTTGTGTGAGTTTTGTAGAACATGTAGAAGTCGGATTTCATTACAAACATCTCCAGTCTTACAGTCCATTTGGTGTGAAACTCCAAGGAGACTTTGGAAGGGAAAGCTATTCCTGTTACTGCAATCTTTACCAAACTATACTGAGATCATTTTCCGTCTAGAAAAGTCAGGATCTATTTCTTTTATAATCCCAGAAGATGGTTTGTCAGCACAGTGACACAATCCACAGTGTTGACTGGTAGCTGATTCAGTGGGGAGAAAAACTGCTTAATGTTTGGCTGGCAGGAAATGGTCTTGGCCATACAGCAGCTGGTCCTTAAGGATATCAGCAGAATCCTGAACTTGTTTGACCTTGATTAAACTTATGCTACCTTGGATTTAACATGAGAAAACAGGAAAGCTTCAGGCTAAAGGTACATACATCATGTTTTACTGACCATTGGTGTGAACTCTGTTCCATCTTTGTTTCTCTTTGTGAATAGTAAACCTTTTGATAAATACAGGGGTTCTGGAAAGGAGAGGAAATCCTGACAAACAGTGCCTGTGCTAGCGGGGGAGGGCTGCAGCTTTGCAGATAAAATTCTCTTGAAATGGGAACTTTAAAATGACTTGGCAGGTTTTACAGAACATAAATAGCGCCTTTAGGGAGAAAAGCTTCCTTTACTCCATGTTGTGGACAGAGGAGCATTTTCTGGCTTGGCTGTCGGTGTGGAGTGTGCCTGCACTGAAATCTCTCAGTCAGGGTTGAATGGGAGAGTCCCCAAAGGATGCAGAGGTTTTCCTGCTGCTGCAGGAAGAGCTGGGAGCTTAGAGCAGTGTTGGGGAGGAGACGGGGATGGAAACATGGGGTGATCTCTTGCCTGTAGGGAACTGGCCGGGAGCACGTATTCATTGTTTGCCTGGTGCCTGTCTGACAGCAAGAACAGAACATCAAACCCCAGTTCTTTGCCTTCCGCTGGCTGACGTTGCTCTTGTCCCAAGAGTTCCTGCTGCCAGATGTGATCCGCATCTGGGACTCCCTGTTTGCTGACGACAAGCGCTTCGATTTCCTCCTGCTCGTCTGTTGTGCCATGTTGACGTAAGTACACACACAGCCCTTCTCTTCCATAGATCCAGGAGTCTTCTGTAGGCACGTGTTAGGGCATCTGGTGAAGAGGTTATAGGTTTTAAAGTTTCTTTCTAAAGAGTCAAAAGTAGCTGGAATAATTTCCGTCTTTCAGACTCATCCGGGATCAGTTGCTGGAAGGAGACTTCACTCTGAACATGAGGCTGCTACAGGTAGGAATTAAGTAGAGTGGGTGCAGAGAGCAATTGGAAAAGGCTTAAAATAGCACTGTGAGAGAGAATGACAGTATGTGAGAGGGTGGGAGGGTATGCCTGGTTCAAGACAAATACCACATTTTTGATGTCTGCATGCAGGAAAATCTGCAGGAATCTCACAGCACTATCATTGCTGTAACTGGGAGTCTTTAGCACATGCACTCTTTCTATCCTAGAGAGAAATTGTCATAGATTGGAGGTTTCTAATGGTCCTTTGGTTTGCAAAAAAAAAAATCAAATTATTTCAAGCAAAAATGTGAAACCTTATGTAACACTGCTAAATATTTTGGCCAGAGGGTTTTAATTCTGAGATCTGAGAGAGCCTTAGGTTGGAAACGCCTGCACTACACAGTTGGATATCTCACATTCTGCCAGTTCCTGCTTTGGGCTGTGCAAGATACTGGCTTTGATAAGGCTCTCTGGCGTGAGAGAGGGCCCTGGAGCAGACCAGGTTACTGTGCCCTTGGAGGACAAAGTGGAAAAAAAACAACAAACCTTCTGGAAGGGTATTGAGGTTTGATCAGTTACAAAACAGGAAACTGTAGCTGTTAAAGGAGTAACTGAACATGGCACTGTTAAAATAGGCCAAGAACTTTGTTCTGCTTAAGCAAGGCAAACTTTGACAACAATCTGTATCAAGAATGCTGGGAAGTCGCTGAAATCTATTTGTTTCTTTGCCATAGGATTATCCCATCTCTGATGTTCATCTGATTTTGAAGAAGGCAAAGGAACTTCAAGATTCCAAATAGTCCATGGGCCTAACAAAAGGTGTCAGAGAACTGTGTGGCAGTGGGTCCTGGGAGATGGCCCCTTGCAGTGTGGTGCACTAAAGCTCCTACTGATCTCTGCAAGACTTCAGGTTAGGGCTACTGGCCACCTTGAAGACTTCTTTCTACTCTATTTATTAGGTCAAGGACTGATTACTTCTGCATCTACTTGGGTCCTACACTCCAGATTTTTCCACATCTCAAATGCCTCTTTGCTGCCAAAAGCAGTTCTTTGTATCTTTTTTTAATGACTTTGAGTTTGGGGAGAAAGAAGCCTTCTGTCTGCATATCCCTGAAGGGATGGACTCCTGTATTGTGCAAGTAACACACGGAGTAACTTCTGATGGGGAAAGGACAGACTTAAGTCCAGTGAATTTTGGTGGGTGAAGATAGAAGGATCTTCCTCCTGTGAATAGAATGTATTCCAGTGAAGTCACACATTCTGCCATTTAAGTAGATTCTGGATTCTCCTCCCTCGTGTCTGCACTTGGCCATCCCTGGGGCGTGTGAAGAAGATTGCATCACTTTCTGGTGAAGGTTGCCTGGCAGTTTGCACTCCTTTGACTGGGAAAGAGACTTGGGAAGCTGAGGTAGGAGGACATGGTGACAGCTGGTGGCTTTGTGCACTCAAACTGCCTGAATCCAGACCTGCCTTATCAACGAGGTCTCCTTGAAAGCAAGACCGGTGGTTTTAATCCCCTGGTGAAGTGTAGTTGCAAGTCAAGCCTTACTACGCACAGCCTTAGAGCAGGACTGTTGCTGCAGAGAGGCCTCCTGCTGCTCTGAACTGGAGCATATCCAGCTACAATCAGGATCCTGAAACACAAGAAATGGACACCTAATCATGTGCAATGAAGACAAATGTATTTAGGGGCTTATACAGCACAGAACTTTTCTGCCTCAGTGGCTTAAATAATACTACTTGCATTAAGGTCTGGTCACAGTAACCTTGCTATTGTCTCACAGTACTTCTTGCCAGGAAGAGACAGTTCTGATCTGCACTAAGAGTCCTTCTCCAGCACAATCCAGCAGACATACAAGCATCTGTCATGAGCTGACTGCTGGGGCTGATCCACTGTTCTGTCCTGGTCCTGTTGGAGTCAACAGTCCTGAGTTGGACACTTGTTCCTCCTGAGAGAGAAACTGCTGCACTTCAGATACAGACGAGTGGGCTCAGGTGAAGAGGGACTGAGACAAACCACAGGGAGAACTGCTGACCTGCCACAGTGTGGAGCTGAGCAGAAACCCTAATCTTCAGAGTGAGAAACTGCCAGCACCCAGGTGCTTGTATTGTGCAGAAGCTCTTGAGTGAACACTAATCCAACATGCTTTTCCCTTTCTGTGCTGTGCTGGCTCATCTCTGCTGTTGGACACTGCAGTTGTTGGTATTTATGGGTGTTGATTTGTTAAAGGTCAGTCAGTCTTTGTAAGACTTGCTTAAGCTGCTGCTGGCTTAGACTTGCCCTAGCAGGAGGGATGCTGGCAGCCTTCAGCTTTTTTTACTGGTGTATTTTCCTTCACTGAAGGCCTTCACAGGCTGCTGTAATTCTCACCAAGGTGCAGGACAGGTTGGTGCACGTACCCATGTTCTTACTGGCAATCCCAAGCAATCTCTGCCTCTTGAGAAGATGCTCGAGTACCACTTGTGCAGCCATGTGTTGCTGCTGTGTTGCAAGAGCAATTTAAGGTTTAAAGCAATCTGTAATTAATACCTGTGGCAACAGTATCCCTCTCTGCTGCAATCTTTTCTTGAGGGTATAGTTTTCCTCCAAGAAAAATGGAACAGGTAGCCCAGGAGAGCAGTGTGATGAAGTATCCTGGCTCTCTAGCCACTGGATGGATGTTCTTTCTGAGCTGTTGCAGGTGGTCTTATGTCTCAGCTCTTGGGTACCTGCACTGGGGAGGCTGTTGGCCAGACCTTGTGTGGTCAGAGAGCCACCTAGGAGGTTCTCTACAAATGTAGAACCAGAGGGCCCCACTATGAGGCAAGATTGTACCTGCTTCAAACACTTGTGCATCAGAACTGCTATAAATACTGCTGTAGCTTTCCCATTCCATGCACAAACTCGGCTCTCATCTCCCTGAATACCTGTGCTGGGCTGTTCATTCTGGGTTCCCCTGGCATGTGCAGGGTTTCCTTATGCTGGAATTTCTCACTGGCAACAGGACCATCCATGAGTGTTCCTGCTCTGAGCAGCTGGAAGTCTCCTTAAAGTAACCTGAGGAGTCAGCAGGCAAATCAGGATGAAAGCATTACTTGGAGATGAACTTATGCATTTTTCAGCATAGCTTTGGGTCCTGGGGGTGACCATCCCTCTTGGGGAAGGCACAGGGGAGGTGGCAGTACAGGTGTCGTGCTGACTTCTCCCTTCCTAGGTGTCCAAGGGCTCGTGTTATGTCACCTTGCTTCAGGGGGTGACAGTGAATGCTTTTGACAGGAGTTTGCAGTGGTTTAAAGGGATGTGATGAGAGATTTGCCTGCTGGAAAGGATCTCTGGGATAAATTCTGTAGCCTTATCCAACCTGTGGCTGCCAAACCTATTGAGTTGTTTGGGGAGAGCTTGCAACAACTTTGAAACATCCAGGGAGGCTGTTCCATACATAAAAAGCTGTTTTATATTCCTGCTTATTTCCTTCCTGTGTGGTAGAACTTCTGTCCTGCTGTTGAAAGGAGTAGTACTTTTCATTGTCTTGGGACATCTATTTCTTTATTCCAAGACTTTCTCCTTTCTTTAAGAGCAAAACCAGATTTTCTGAGAGGACAAAAGAAAGTCTTAACCTTTTACCAGCTTTTGAATCTCCTTATGCTTCCCTTGGCTTCATTCCCCAAAGGTTTTTGGTGATTATTTTTGTTGTTCTTGAAGTGAGACGATACTTAACTGGTATTTCCTTGCTTGTGTGGCCAAGTAACACCTGCTCCGGCCTTGAGATGTTCCTGCTTCTGGTTTCTTACAATCCTGACTTGCTGAAAGAGCTGAACTTTGGGGCGGGACGTGTTAATCTGGGATGCCTTGGCGACCCATTATCTCACAGGGACTTGAACAGTGGATGTTTAAATAGCTCTTACCATGTGTTCCTCATAGGCAGGGCTGCTGCCAGACAGGGGAAAGGGAAATCACCTTCAGCTGGGAGGAAAAACAGTACACTCGTGGGTGTGGGTAGGGATGAGCCTTCCCTGGGAAGGAGAGGTCTGCTCTACCTGCATCTCACTGGAGTTCAGGCTTTGTAGAGCTTTGTGGCTTTGCCAGTGAGCTAAATCAAGTTGCTGGTGGTGGTCACTCGGGAGACTGATTTGAGCTTGAATTTTATGACCTGACCTAGAATTATTCACACTTTGGCACCGAGCAGAATGAAAGCCAGAAGTTGTTTTGGGGGAGTCTGGGGTGTTTGGGAATCAAATGCTGTTTTTCCTTAAAGAACATCAGCGATTTTGTTTTAACTGTTTGGAGCAGTCTTGTAAAATGCCCTTTCCCCAAAGAAAGGGACAGATAACACTTTTTTTTCCCCCCAATTTATTTGGGAAGAACTGCCGGAAAAGGGTGTAGTGAACATTTCATCACTCTAAACCTCCTTATTTTATGCTTCTTTTTTCTAACACTATTTTTATAAGGTTTCCTTTAACTAAACGGATGTCTGTGCAAACCTCTCCTGTTGCCGAGTCGGAGTTGGGGCTGCTCCAGGTTCCAGCTGCGGTGTCCATAGGTGTGAGAGCAGCACAGCGAGCTGCGGAGAGCCCTGGACAGCCAGCCTGGCTCCTCCACCGCCATCTCTGGTTTTACTCTGCCTTTCCCCAGCTGTACCTGGCCCAGGTGCCAGCGCAGCTCGGTGGCGGTGGGAGCGCGCGTCCCCCCCTCGCTGTGTCCTTGTGCCCCGTCTCCCCAGGAGCGCGGTCCCGGCATCGCCGCGTGCCCGCCGCTCACCCTGTGCGCGCTCCCCTTAAAGCGGCGATGCCGCCTCAACAGCCCGGCTGCCTGGGGCTCCGCCGCGGCCCCTTTAAGACCGGGCCGGGCCCACGGTGGAGCGGCCATGCTGCGGGTCCGGTGGGTGCTGCCGCTGGCGGTGGGCGCGGGGCTGGGCGCGGCCTTTGCCCGCCGGGAGCACCGGGACGATGCGGCCCAGGGGCTGCTGGCTCGCCTGCCCGTGCTGCCCGCCGTGGCAGCGGCCAGCCTGCCCGCGCCACCGGGCTCGGGGCGCACCGAGCTGAGCAAGTACGGGCTGCCCGGGCTGGCGCAGCTGCGGAGCCGCGAGTCCTACGTGCTGTGCTACGACCCGCGGAGCCGCAGCGCGCTCTGGGTCATCGAGCAGCTCAACCGGGACACGCTCAGCGGCGCTTCGGACCGCGCCGCCTGCGACTTCCAGGAGGACGACTCGGTGCACGAATATCACCGCGCCACCAACGCCGACTACCGCGGCAGCGGCTTCGACCGCGGGCACCTGGCCGCCGCCGCCAACCACAGGTGGAGCCAGAAGGCCATGCGGGACACCTTCTACCTGAGCAACATCGCACCGCAGGTATGGCCCGAGGCCTGCGGGGGAAGCCGGAGCTGCCCGCGGGAAATGCCCCGGGAGCGTCGCTGTGTTTGTGCCTGCAGCAGTGCAGACAGAGAGGGGCCGGAGTCACTCGGAGGTGCTGCATTTCCTGCTAAATTTACAGCAGGGATCCTGCAAATGCACCTGCCTGTGTGTGCCTCTCAAGCCAGGAAAGAGACCCCGTTCAGTGCAGCTCCTGTCAGGAGCAGAATTAAACAGGTAGACGCACACTTGCAAAAAAATTGTGGCCTTAGGCAATGGGTTCTGTCCTTGGTGTGCAAACCAGGCTGTCACAGCTCCCAGAGCAGAGGTGATCGTGGAGATCTCATATGGAAAGTGCTTGGTGCTCTGTGAGATGTGTTACAGAAAAGGCAGGTGCTGTTACTCTGAACAGTGAGGACGTTCCCCAGCAACTGACTACTGGTTGTGTTTCTAGAATCCTCATTTAAACCAGAATGCGTGGAATAACCTTGAGAAGTACTGCAGAAGCTTGGCAAAAAACAACAAGAATGTCTATGTCTGCACAGGACCCCTCTTCCTGCCCAGGTAAACAAAAGAGCTGAGCTGGACTGGCACCAAAAGATGTATTGTGCTGTCAAAGGGAAACAGGCTGAGGGACCTGACAGGAGGGATCTATTAAGGGTTCTCTCAGTAGGTGAGACCAGCTGTGCACAGAGGTTCTGTGGGAAGGTACCTTCTTTGGATTAGGTTTATGTATTTCTCATCCAGATGATTATTAATCAAGTGGGATTATTCAGCTGCAGTATAACCAGTTTGTTTGCAGTCCTTAACAATTTAGTAGATTTACTGATTACCACATTAGACCGCAGGCCCCATCCCTGCAGCATAAAGCTTTCAGATTCAATGTCAGGGACTACTCCACTTAAGGACACAACTTAATTTTCAAAGATCTCCACGGAGCACCAAAGAGCAGGTGTCTCATATTGAGATCTCTTCAGCAGCAGGAAATAGCTTGGAAAGTCTGTTAAAGAGAGCCAGCAGGAAGGGAATTTGGGAGCAGCCCCAATGCACAGCTGACCCTCACCATGTCACGTAGCCTCTGCCCCAGCCATGTTTTACAGCCCTGTTGCAGGAGCAGAGCTGCTGCCTGCTGCCGGTGGGGGCTTACTTAGGGAGGTGTTGGAGGACCGAGGGGTTGCAGTGACACCAAACTAGGAGATAACCTGCAGTGTTGCTGTTGGTGCAGGATGGAGGCCGATGGGAAGATGTATGTGAAGTACCAGGTGATTGGGAAGAACAATGTGGCTGTCCCTACCCATTTCTTCAAGGTGCTCATCTTGGAAAAGGAGAGTGGGGAGATTGAGTTGCGTTCCTACGTGATGCCCAACAGCCCTGTGGATGATAAAATCCCCCTGGAACGGTTCCTGGTTCCCATCGAGAGCATTGAGAGAGCCTCAGGGCTCCTCTTTGTCCCAAACATCCTCAGGAGAACAAGTAACTTGAAAGCCATCACAGCTGGAAAGCACTGAACCCTGACTAAAACAAATCCAGGTAACCCTTGGCAAGGGACTGGCAGTCACCTACAGAATCACAGTTCCTTGTGCAGTTGTAAATGGAGAATTAAGATCCAAACCTGTGCTTCTCTCTACCCTTCCCCTTGTTTCTAACTGAGACACACAACAGGGCTCCAGAGTGGTCCTGCAGGAGGCTCAGGGGCATCCAACACTGTAGTAGCTCTCTAGGGTTTGCTCCTAATCCACTGCTGCCTTGGAGTTCTGTGAGGCTTATTCAGGCACAAAGGGAAGTCACAAACTGTTGCTGTTTAGCAGGGAAGGAGGGGGAGCAAGATGGGTGCCAAGGGAGGAAAGCTCCTGCCTTCCTGTATGATTGTTTTCTTTCAGAAGATGGTTTTAGCAGTAAAGCTTTGAACACCTATGGTATTGGTTGTTTCTTATCTGCTCTCACTGAAGCTCTGAATATCTCAGCAGGAGGAGGGGAGGATGGAGCCAACTTTTGCAGCTGCTTTCCTGTCTGAGTGCACTAGGCAGAGCTTAAGGCATCACAGATGGAACCAGACTGTAACGAGATAATGATGTGTTTTAGTGATGAGGCTCAATTGAAGCTCCAGCCCTTCCTGCTGTTGGGAAAGATGAAGCCTTGCAGGGGGCTGGGGGAAGTCAGGCTGAGGCAGGAACAGCTTCTTGCCATAAGGATAAGATCTGACTTCCTTTCAGTCTGAAGGCCACACTGTTCCAGAGGCACTGAGTGTGCCTACACCAACACACACCTGGATTTCACAGCAACTGAGGTTCCATACTGTTTTATTCCCACCCAAGATGTCCGAGTTGCTGAGACCAAGCCTGCTGCCAGGCTCGTGCCAGCTACTGGGAAGCAGCAACCAGTCCCTGGCTGGAACATGCAGGCAGGAGGGCACAGACTTGCTGCTCCCAGCAGCAGTGAATGTCTGGTTGGGCAGTGCTGCCAGCTCCAGACACACTGTGCCTTGGTCCCACCAGGCTCCTGGAGTGATGGAGTGACTCGCCCAGCACCCCACAGTTGAAGAGCTGCCTCCCCAAGGGCAAGGTCACTGGTTTCCCTTCCCTCAGCTGTCTCTGGGTGTCTTCACAGCCTCCTCAAGGTGTGGTCTCAGCGCAGACAGAGAGATCAGCAGTGCTTCCTGCAGCAGAGCCAGGCCAGTCAGAGCACACCTGGGCCCTGTGTGTCACTGCCACAGGCAGACACCCAGCACTGCCCTGGGACACCCCAATGCCATCAGCCCTACCTCGGTCCGGATGGTTCTGCTGCCCTGGCTGGGACACGTGTTCACGTAGAAGTCAAACAAGACACTTGGGTCAGTGACCTCCAGGTTTGGATCCACATCAACCCCAGCTTCCAAGCCCTCAAGGCCTCCAAAGACGACAAGGGCATGCCTGGGGAGAGCACAAGGACAGGGTGAGAGGGCAGACTGTCTAGGTCTGTGTCCAAGCTCCTGTCTGCTGCTGAAGCAGGGAGCTGTGTCTGTTGCTGATGGTGACCACTGCAGCTGCCTCCCCGCCAAAGCCCCACAGCATCTGGCCAGTATGACAGTCCCTGCTACCAACTGCAGAAAAACAGGAAAATAACTGGTCTTGTTCTTGGATATTTCCCCTGATCTGCTGCCTGCACCAGCCTTGCTGGGAGCTCTGTGTGGGGCCAAGCAGGCAGGATACAAACCTGAAGGAGGGCAGAGTGACTTGGTCCACAGAGCTGCCCCGTTCTGAGGTCCCAATAGAGAGATCATAGCCTTCCTTGAATGGGCACTCGGAAAAGACAGCACCTGGGAAAAAGAATCTGGGTTACTGCTGCCATGTCCTCACCCATGGGCCTTCTGGACAGGCCTCAAACACTCCATGGTTGAATGGTGGCAGCAGAAGTTGCTTTCAGTGCCAAAAGTGAATCTGGAGACAGAATGACTCCTCTTTCCCAAATAATTCCCTTGCTGCAAGAGTCTCCCCTATCCTTTTCCTTTGTCAAAGCTCAAGACAAGTGCCAGGAACCACCTCCTAACATCTTACAGTCTTCCTACAAGATCCAATCAATGAGAAGACAGGAGAAGAATTTTCCAGGGCTCTTAAATTCCACTGCTGGCTGTGATATGAATGAATGGGATGTAATTATTGAAACAGAGAAGGGCACCAATTCATCTCTTGCTGTTGTGCAGCCATTTGGAGCAATGGTGAGTGGAGGTTACAGGGCAGAGTCCTGGAGGGTGACTGGGATGATTCGTGCCTTGTTTCAGCCCTTGAATTTGACGCCACATGGCTGCTGGCTGCATGTGTAAGCTGCCCTTCAGATAAGGAGATTTCTAGGAAAGAGATGCATGCAGCCAGTAGGCCTGAGACTGGTGTGGAAGCCCAGGCAGGGAATCTCTGTCGATACTCACTCAAGCAGGAGGCCAGGCGGACGCTGTAACCCCAGTACAAGCCTGAGGCTTCCCGGGGATGGTGCGAGGACACCACAGTGCCTTTCCGCACTTTGGCTTCTGAAAGAAAACAAAGAGGTTTAACAGCCCCTGTGATCTGGTGAGATTTGGCCAGCCATGGCCAGCAGTTTCTCCTGGAACAAGGCACTGACTGGGTGTGCAACATCACCCTCTCTTTTTCCAGAATGTGGAAAAGTATTCTGGAAAGCCTGTGAGTGTGTTTGGGCTGTTTTATTGCCGGTCAAAGAGCTGACAGTTCTTTCCAGTTATCAAGGGTGGCAAGGTAAGGATGTTATTAAATTTGTGTATGGAGTGAAGGAAACATGCAGAACTGTTGGGTGCCTTCAAACCTGTTATATGGAAGCACCAACTCCTGCAGGACTGAAGTTTACAGATGCTCCTGGAGCCATGGATTACCTGGGTTCTGGGGCTTGTCCAGGCGCACGGTGACTCGCAGACCAGGGTTCAGCTGTTTGTCAATCCGCACCTCCTGCAGTGACAGTCACCATCAGCACTAGATATGCTGGAAGGACTGAGGAAGGTGGGGAAGGAAGGGAATCATTTGAGGAAGTGGAGGTCTGTTCTGGTTTGGAGCTGGAATGAGTAGCTCTGTGTCTGGCTTAGGGGCTTGGTCATCAGTCTGAAGCTTGTTTTGCTACTCAAAGGTTGAGCTGCAGCAGTAAAGCAATGATCTGCTGGAATGTGTGGGGCCTGCTGGGGCTTGGGAAGCCACAAACTTTGCTGTCTTGTCCCTTCTGAATTTGGCAACAGCCTTAAACCCCTCACCAGCCCACTGCAGCCTTCAGAAACCCAGCAGCGCCCACCCTGCCTGCTTCCAATCTGCCAGAGAGACAAGGGAAGTTGTTTTGGCATCTGTGGGTAGCAGACACACCTTCCTCATCCCACAGTTAACTAAAGAGCCTTTGCCTGACTTCGCTGGCCGGTCCAGCACGATGCCCTCCCGGTACTCCAAGTCCTCGTCCACCCTCATGTGGTGAGGGCTGTCCAGGGGGTTGAGCAACCCTAGAACAACACAGAGCAAAGAGGTGCTGGGGGGAAAACACAGCTGTAGGTACAGGTGTTCCTGCTCCTTCCCTCTCAGGTCCAGCACTGAAGTGGGGAGAAGTCCTGGCTGTCCCACACACAATGAGACAGCTCAGGAAGGAGAGAGACAACCCCATCTTACCTGCAAATTGCAGATCCGCATGCTTTGGAAAAAAGGATTTCCTCAAATACCTGTCACCAGAAAAAAGGTATTTTTATGGAATCTTTTTATGCAATCTGGATCTCAATTCTAGCCCTGTTCTGACTCAAAAGAGCTGAGTATAGAGAAATGCAAACTTACTGAGGACACTCCAAGTACTGCAGGATCCGAGCCAGCTGCACACAAGCCTTGCCTTTCCTTCCAATTCCTTCAAAATCTCCCTCCACGCTCCTGAAAGTGAAAGCAAGCAGCTTATTAACTCGGCATGAGATTAGTCAGGTCTCCAGAAGACCAAGCCTTGCTTCTTAATCTGACAATAACAGCACATCCATCCCTCCCTTCTAACCCTTGTAAAAGCCCTGCTCTAGAGGCAGTCTGTTAACAAATCATCCTTGGAACTCTCTCCATAAGCCAAGTATCTTCCTCAGTTTTGTTTTTTGATCTTTATGTACTAATGTAACGTGGCAGTTGGATGCTACTGAGCTGGATGCTCCAGGCTTGGTCAATTAACTCAGGTACAGGTCCAAGTGAAAAACTGAAGGATGGGAAAGCATTTTCTATAAGGATACAGGCCATGTCCTGTCCTTCCACAGCAAGATTTAACAGTGCAGGAGAACTTGGCCTCTTGTTGCTTTGTCAACCTCACGTTGGGATGAATGATCTGAGCTGCCAGGGCAGTTCAGTCAACATCTTTTTCGGTGGGGTATAGTGGTCCCTGTAATCCTGGCACTGGAGAGAGGTACATGCAGTTCCTTCCTGGCCTTAGCTTAATAAAAGAGTGAAGGAGCAGAAAAATGAGAGGAAATACTGTGCAGAACAAGATGGCTCTTCCTTCAGAGAATCACAGAATAGCTTGGTTTGGAAGGGAACTTAAAAGATCATCTTGTTCCACCTCCTGTCATGGGACACCTTCCACTATCCCAGGCTGCTCCAAGCCCTGTCTAATCAGGCCTTGGACACTTCCAGGGACAATACAACCACAGCTTCTCTGGGAAAGCTGTGAATTCCTCACAGGGAGGAATCTAATCTAAGCATGCTCTCCTTCAGTCTTGGCCTCACCTCACGTCCTCTCCATGCTCGTCGAACACCACGATCTCATCCACGCAGAAGATGGCGCAGGCCCGGCCGATCTGTCCCGCCAGGTACGTGCGCAGCTCCGGCGACTGCGCGTTGTTCAGGATGGAGCCGGGCAGGGCCACGCTCAGCGTGTGCTGTCGGCCTGGGGAGCAGAGACATGGCACAAACACGGCCTGGCAGCTGAGGGGCAGCACCACATTTACTACTGCAACTGCTCTTGTGGTGGGGGAATGGCAACTTCTGTTTCTTAGATTTAATCAGAGGTTTTCTCTTAGGAAAGATTTGTAGTGCAGTGGTTGTTGCACAGTGTTTGTGCTTGCTTGGGGACGTGGACTGATGCACATGGGATTTATGAAGTAACACCTTTCCTATCGATAGATAACACTGATTACCAAAACCAGGCAGGTTTTCTAGTACTTTCCACCCAGGTCTCCCCACCGGCTCACAACGGCATCACCTCTGTCTTCCTTCTGCTCCTCCTGCGTCTGGGCTTCTTGTTCTGCCAGCTCTCGCATCCGCTGTTTCTCCAGTTTCTTCAGCAGCTTCAATTCCTTCCATTTCTTCTTCTCCGCTTTCCCTGGGACAGAGAACAGCACCTGGCGTTAAACACCGCGCCGTGTCCGCTCCGAGCGGCCCCAGCCCCCGCGTGTGCCGGCCTTCCTTACTTTCCTCCTTCCAGCGCCGCCAGTCCACCTTTCTGTCCTCAACCTACGGGGCACAGCACGCGTTACCGCCGGGCTCCCCTCAGAGCTGGACCCGGGGCACGCCCCGGGTTCGGCTCCCCTCAGGGTCGCGGGCTGGACCCGGAGTCCCTAACCCACCTGTGCGCCCTTAGGCCGCTTCCCCACGCTGCCCCCTATGTCCGCCATCTTCCCCGCGCTGCCGGCCACGCCCCCGCGCTGCTGATTGGCCGGAGGGCGCAGGCCCCGCCCCCGGCAGGGACGAGCCCGGGGTCACGTGGGCGATGTTTGAACGGCCCGCGCGGCAGCGGAGCTAAGCAGGGTTGGTCGCGTTCTCCGGGAGGATGGGTGACCTCGGTGGGCAGCGGAGCGCGGTGTGCATCCCGGAACGCTGCAGGAAGATCAAATTTCCGCGTGGGTGGGGCACGCGCGCGCGCCCACGTGTGCACGTGTATGTGTGGGTTTAAAGTCTGGGTACTCGCGTCTGCGTGTCTTTGCACAAGGCCTGCGTGAATTCTGGACCATAGGCAGATGCACCCTGCCCTTTGCAGGTTGTGTCATGGCCTAGATATAAGAGCCCACGCATGTGGGGGTGTTGCAATTAATCTTCATGTTAACAATCTAATTGCATGGTTCTTTCTCTGTTTCAGAGATTGTGACTCTACCCATGTTTGGCACACTTATGGGTGCAAAAGAGCTTCATCAGCACCCTGACTCACCCAGGCTGAGCAAGGTGAGATGGAACACCAGGAAAGACAGGTGCCTGTTTGCCTCCTTCCCTCTCACCCTCCCTCCTGCTGGCCTGCAGCTCTGCCTCCAAGGGCATTGGTACCACCAGCTCCAGCCCAATATGGAAAACCTACGGAGCTCTCCCCACCAGCCTGAGTGGGACAAGTAGCCACCATCACAGGACCCAGCACAGATGAGGCAGCTCTCAAGGAGAGCTCCATCAGCCTTGCAGTCATTACAGAGACGTCTACTCTTCCATGATTGCAGTAATTTCACTTTAATAATTTAACTGCTACAAACACTCATTGCACAGTCTGTTGCACGCAACTCCTGCGGGGTTGATGATGATGTTTTACACTCTTATCTGGGCTGAAATTGAATTGATGCAAGAATTATCTCCAGAATTGCTCATGTTACCCCACCAGCTCACTGGCTGGGAGGTTGTGGTGGCCACCAGCAGTAGGAGCAGCCGAGGCCATGGTGCCCACTCTCCCCTGCCACTGTGTGCGCTTGTCAAAGGCCAAAAAAAGTTTTGCTCTGCAGCCTGAATGGTTCTGCCAAGCCCTGTGAAAGTGCCAGCAGTAATTTGGAAGGTTTGACAGCAGCCAGGCTACTGGTAAAAGCCTGTTTCCTGTGGGGAAACCAATTGTGTGGTTATCTTCCCCAGAGATGCACAGAAAAAAAATACTGGGAAAATAGTTTGATAGGAAATAACATTTCACTGGGTTTATAATCTCAGGATCATAGGAGTCACCTTACTGATGGCTGGTGATACTGGCTTGTCCTGTGGGAACGTGAGTGCTGGTAGAAATGCTGCCCTGAGTGAGGATGTGGAGCAAGACAAGCCACACTAACCCTCCAGCACGGCCTTAAAGGTAGGTCCTGAAACACCTTCTCACAATTTGGTGGTGACACAGATCCCAGGAGCCATCTTCACTTTGTGTGTTGCTGGATGCATCCCAGAACTGATTAGCGAAGTTTTGACATGTAAGGAACATCAAATACTGTCAGTGCACGTGAAGTCTCACTTCTTGAAATCATTTCACAGTGACTGAAAATGTCCCCCAGGCCCTGGGTGTGAAAAAAACCATTTGTCTGTCAGAAAATGTTGTTGAAAGCATTGAAGTAAGAACATATTGAAGTTTGTAGACAGGTGAAGAAGAGCAGTCGGGCAGATGTGGATCAAGGAGGGCCCGGTTCTCTCTCAGTGTATTCAGGAGCTGATTTTCTCCTGTTTCCATTTTTGCAATATGTCATTTGCTGCCTTCAGTGTAGCGTCCTCCTAAAAAATACCACAGATTCGGTCAGTGGCTCCCAGCCAAATCCTATTCCCCCTCACTGGAGCCATTGTTGATACAAAATTCCTGTTCTCATTCTGGAGCATTGCAGCCACTGGACAGCTAAAGGGGCACCTAGAGAGAGAGTCCCTTCCTTGGCCAAGAAATTTAGGATGCTGATGGGACAAGGTTTAGGTTGGCCCTGGCACATCTGCTGCCCTCAGCTCATGTGTCTGCAGGAGTAGTTGCTCCAGCTGGGATGCCATGGTGGGGCTCCAACGCCCAAGGCATCCTGCATTTCTACTTGGCATTTGTCTCATTAAACCAGCCCTGATTATTACTCCCAACCTTGCCTTCCTTAGTGCTGTCACATATCTCACCTTTGCAAAGCAGAACCGGATGAAATTGCTGTAGTTGTTCTTGTGGGCCTCGCTGTAGAAAGCGGAGAATGGGATGGCAGCAAGGCCCTGGAAGAGGAAGCACGTGGAGCTGAGGAGCTGAGGTTCCTGCTCTGGGGCTGGCCTGCAGCCTGCTGTGCCCCAGTGTGAGCCTGGGTGGGCACAGCCAGCACAGTGGGCACAAACCCACCCAGGGCAGCAGAAACATCTACCTTGTTCTTGATCATCCACTTTGTAAATCTGTAGTCGTAGGGCTCATCTGAGTTGGGGACATCGGGGACATCAGATTCTGCAGGAGAAGCACAGCAGGACAGAGGCTGGGGCAGCTGCCAGGTGCCTCAGCTGAGGCCCAAGCCCATATCCTTGCAGCTTGGATGGGGAACACGCAGTCCATCCCTGCTTTGATGATGGGTTATGCAGGTTCCTGTAGTACCGCCCCCCACACCCAGCCCACCTGGGCAGGACTGCAGGTGACTCACTGAACTGGGAGATGTCTGCCACCAGGAAGTAGGTGCCCTCGGGGATGACGGGTTTCATCCCCATATCATCCAGGCTCTGAACCAGCCAGTCTCTCTTTTTCTGCAGCTCCTTGGGCAGCTGGACAAAGTAGCTCTCTGGTTTTCCATAGAGCATGAGCTCCCTCTGGAAACCCTGAGCCACGGCCTCCTGTAAGGAGAGAGGAGCCAGGACCCAGTGGGAAGATGGTCAGGACTTTCTTGGGAACTGAAGTTCCTGCAATTCACAGGTGATTAGGGAGCTCTCTGCCTCCAGCCCCTCTGAACTTCCCCTTAGATTTGTCAATGCAAGATAAGGAATATACCCCAGGCAGGCTGGACTCTCCCCTTTCTCGGAGACATGGAGCAACTGTAGGGAGAGGAGCCTCTCCAGGGCACCACAAATCACTTGTGTGTGCCTTTCGGGTCAGCTGTGGGCAAGAGGACCATCTCCTACCACTGCTCTGAGGGCTTGGGAATCGCAGGGCCAGGTGCAGGGAGCTGCCTTACCTGGGCAATTGTGGCACAGTGGTACACTGAGTTCTGGTGCACAGTACGGATGTGCTGTATCAGCCTGTCGGGTCCCACAACCCAGCCCACCTGCAGCCAGGAGAGGAGGAGGAAGATGCTGAGTGTCTGGGTACCTGCTCAGGCTCCCCTTTCTGTGCCTGTGCTGGTTTCCTTGTATTTTCTAGAAAGAACTTTCATGAGGCAGCTCTGGTACGTTCAGACCCAGAAGCTCAAAGCTGAACGTGGCTGCAGTGTCCCCAGTGCTGTGCTATGGCAAAGGGACAGGGATGGGGACACAATGAGGTGAACATGGGATATTCACCTTCCATCCAGTGACACTGAAGGTCTTCCCAGCGCTGCCGACGATCATTGTGCGGTCCCACATCCCTTGCAAGCTGGCTGGCAATGAAAGGAGAGAAACCCCGATGGCAGAGCTCAGCATGCTCCTTTCTGGGCTGCATTAATGGCACGTGGGAGCTCTCTGTCCATCATAATTCACAGTGATCTGTCATGTTCACAGCACGTCTTTCACTTGGATGAGCCTCAAAGCACATCCCAAGCAGACAGCCACGTTTCTCAAGAGCATCTCCTTTTAATTAAGCATTTTCACAGGCATGTACCCAGCCCCAGGGGCTCTTGGAGATGCCAAGCACCATCACTCTGCATCAAGGTGATGGCACGTTACTACAACTGGAAGAACAGGCTGAAATCGTGTTGAAATGGATTTCCTGAAACTAGAGAGACTCAGAAAACTGTGGCTTTACACAGCATGGGACGAAAAACGGATTCACTGGAGCCAAGGAGCTTTTTGTTCTAGATCTCCCCTCTGACTTGCTCTGAAATCAGAGCTTCTGTTTAGAATTCACAGAATTCTCAGGACCTGGTTTGGAGGCTGAGACTGAAGTGCAGCAAAATACCTCCACTGGAGGATTCAGCCTAGTACAGCTGTGCAGGCAGGCAGCTCCTGGGACCTCAGGGGCAGCTCCTGGGACTTCAGGGGCCGCCAGTGAAATGCCCATTCCCTGCCCTGAGCAGCCCAGCCCGGCCCCGCCCCGTACCGATGCGGATGTGCTGCTTCCCATCGTAGACCAGCCACTCGTACACCTCGTCGCTGATGCACAGCACGTCGTGCTTCACACACAGCTCTGCAATCAGCCCCAGCTCCCCACGGCTGAACACCTGCAGCAGGCACAGAGTGTGGCAGAGATGCGGCAGGAACATTTCTGAGCCCCTGCCTGTCCCTGCTTGTCTCTGAAGGTTGTATGGATCCTCCTGGCAACAACATCGCCCATGGAGCTGGCTGCAGTGGTCTAACAGGGTAAAAGCACTGCTGGCACAAAAGACAAGGCTTAAAAACACCAGGAGACTGAGCACAGCATGTGGTGCCCCCGTAACACCCACTTCCCTTGTGTGCAAGGCAGGCTGAGTCACTGCTGCACTGCAAATGTGGCTGCAGCACCCCAGCAGCTTCCAGGGCCCAGCATGGCCAGCAGTGTTACCTTGCCCAGAGGGTTGTTGGGCGTGTTCAAGACGATGGCTTTTGTCCTTTCACTGAATTTAGAAGCCAGTTCAGCAGGGTCCAGCTGCCAGTCTGCACTAGACATCAATTTTCCA